CTTGACACACTGAAGCAAGGCGAGTCAGTGAGGTCGGTTGGGAGAGATTCCCTTCCGTAGAAGCGCTCACCGCGCCCATTGGCTTTACTCACTGATGCGCTGACTGTGACTGCCTCGTGAATGATGGTTGGGAGCGTGCTTGAGATCGGAAGAGCCACCTCGAGATCTGCTGGAACACACGCAACGTGACAGCAATGATGTCTTGACGTGTCCAAGCGGAACCGCATCGGAATCAGCTACAGAAAATCTGCCGTCAAAGACACCATTTATCCAACAGAATACGCTCACGAGCGCACGTCTAAAGGATCATCACCCACACTCACACAAGGTCTGTCGGACACCGCAGATGACCATCACACAGCACAGGAAAGACGCTGACTTAAGACAAGGAGAAGAGGCCAGAAGAACGAGAGAGAAGGCGAAGTGATCCTCTTTCAACAGGGCATTTCACGATATGCACGGCTCTCGCTCCTGACAGGCTCCTCAAACCCGCCCTCAACAGTACACTAAGTTTCGTGGATGTAGTCAAATTATGATTTGACCCTCCTTCACAAAGACGATCACGGATGAAAAGCAGAGGGTGCAGTGAAAAAGTTCAAACCACGCTCATACGCGGTTTGAGAGAAACGACTGTGAATGCAGAACTGGAGGGCGGTGAAAGAGAGAAAAAACAAAGCACTCTTCTTGCTACGCTGTTAACGCGACCGCACCCGTGAAAGCAGCATTCTTGAGAGTCGCGATAGGCAACTTGAGACCATCGGAATACCTAAAGCACTCAGTAATACATATGCCCTATCACATGATGTCGAGAGCCAGAAAAGGAAGTACGTCTGGATGAATAAGAGAAGGCCTCCAAAGGAAACAGCTCTGCTTATCCGCATCTTTCGTACACTTTTGGTACTTCTTATTGCGTAGAGGACCGAAAATACCAACCATATACATACATACCAATTCACGACGAACGCACATTTAGTGAGGCGAAAAAGGGATATCCTATGTGAACCAAGAAAGCACAAAAAGAACGTAACAACATACCAGCATGTGCACTATGCGATAGAGAAAGGAGGTCACAAACTGACAGTAAGAAAGTATATAAGAAAACGGCACTACAAAAAAGGTCCACTACGAACCCTCCTTGCCAGACCTGCTACCATCTTGTGGCTGGGTCCTATCCCTCTACTTCTCGACAACCCAGGGCGACGGATAACGCAAGAGGCATGCATCCTTCTACACCTCCCATCCCTACCCCATGAAGTACAGCCGATCGACGCTACGGCTGGACACCCCAGGTGGTAGTGGAGATGAAAACAAGGGCACCAATTATACAAAGACTCATTTAACAGCTCGGGAGATGCTGAAGCAGCACGATCTGTCCTCCACTTTGCGTCCGGGCGCCTGAAGGACGACAACATGTAGCAACCGTCGAGAACGACTGGGAACTATGTCGATAGACCACTGATCTGTGTTCATTCACCTATTTTCCAGCAGTATCAGACCGGTCAATGCAGGTCACAGCACCAGCAAGCTCACGGGGCACTTCTGCATCACCTTTGTGAGCCACCGCTCCTTTCAGCATCCCTTCTTGGGTCCGAAAGAGTTCACGACGTGTAGGGCGGCAGCAGGCACCCGATGGTAGGCAGTAAGGAGGAGAACATCCGGAACCAGGACAAGGGACACATTGCTGCACCGACGGCTGAAGGACGGCCAGAAGAATGACGAGAGCCAAGATGAGCTTCATCATGCTTGCGGGGTGGATGACAGGCAATTCAAAGCTGGCAATCCAGACGAAGGAATTGTCGATCCGCGTGGAGAAGAAAGGGAGGAGAGGTCCGTTAGAAGGGGAGAGAAGGACCGCCTTTCCGTGAAACCGTGCAGAAGGACTGCTCTCGATCGGTCGGCCTTCATTCGTTCAGCTTCAAACAGCTTTCACGAGTTTCGTGTGGCGACTCTCGTGTGTGGGGGCCAGTGAGTGTCGGCGCCATGACGGGCGTGGCGGAAGCGGGAACCATGACGGGCGTGGCGGAAGCGGGAACCATAATCGGTGCCCTCAAGACCTCCTGGGAGTTTATCCAAGGGTAGGCGACACCTGAGCAGCCCTGGGGTGTGAATGTGTATGTGGCGCATGCCTCTGTGCGTCTGTGCTCAGTTTTTGGACGTATCGGCGCAAGCCGGAGCAGGACAAGTGGCCAAAGACTACCCTCGGAGTGCAATGGTGCATCCAGAGATGGAGCTGGCGGCGGAGACCGAGACCGGGAGATGAAGTGATATACGACCGAACTATACGGACTGCCGGCTTCACCGCGCCAGTGCACCAGGAGCATTCGTCTGAAGATTGTCGACAAAAGGTCCCTTTTGATGGGGGTTGGGAGAACGAGGCGCTGATGAAAATGAGAGAGGGCGAAGTGAGGCGACTCATCCTGATCCCTAGCAAGACTCTTGGGCATGGAGAGCAAGAGCGGTGGTGGGTCGAGATGACACTCCATGAGATCATGTGAGCCATGTCAGGAAGAGGTAGAAGGCCACATATCAAGAGTATCGACAAGACAATCTACTTCACGTCTCACTGATTGGTGGTGGTGTGGTAGATCACGACAGCCCCTGAGACGTCGCAAAAATTTCTGCAAGCGGCCGAAGAGAGAGAGGTGCATAACGCAACACACAGTGAACTATGGTGCATCTTTCGCCACGTGTGTGGATGCATGCATTTCCCAGGTGGGCGATCTGTCCTAGTAAGGCTCAGTATAAGATCATACAGGAAGGCACCGGAGGGATGCCTCAGGAGGGACAAGCCGGTGAGATGATGGAGGGATAGAGATTCTGAAGATCACACTCTCATACATATCTTTCGCTATATCCCATGGTGTCTCCAGTGATCTACAGCATGGTCCCTTGGCCTCGTGGCCTTTGGTCTCGCAAAGCGGACGTACGGAGTGCAACGTTGCCTCACCAGGAGAAGTGGGTCGATAGCATTTTGACGTCGATGAAGGTGGGGGAGGTGCGGTGGGTCATCGCGCCTCCCTCACCTTCCCATATGACACTTCACCTCGGACGTCCTACGCCGTCATCGGAGCAGATGAAGAGTCTAATGGAGCCGGAGATGTTTCACTTTACGCTTCACGCTATCGAGTAATGCCATGTAGATAGTGAGGGATGGAAAAAAGGAGGGCCTCTCCCGTCAAGAATAGTAATTAATATAGATGTCACTGTCAGATACAACGCTGTTGCGTGTCCTTCAGTCCCCATTACGAGTGTCTTCCGGGGCCAAGGAGAGAATTGTCCTACTCGATAATGATGGAAGATATCAGAGGGACACCACGGGAGGGACAAACAGGTGAGTGTCTTCCGGGGCCAAGCAGAGAATTGTCCTACTCGAAAATGATGGAAGGGATCGGAGGGACACCACGGGAGGGACAAACAGGTGAGGAAGGACTGATGGGCCTGCACTTACCATTTGGCCCGTCACTCGCCTCCGCCTTAATGTGTTGTCTGCAGTGACATATGACTGGGTCAGGTGGAAGTACGGCTTCGAAGGAGCTGAGATAGTGGGTTGGCGCAAGGGCAGTAAGTGGTGTTTACCTCACAATGTGGAGTGGGTTAATGCTATCTTGATATCGATGAAGGTGGGGGAAGTGCGATGGGCTATCGTGCATCAAGACGGAGAATACTTGTTCCTAGAGTACACTCTTCGTCAGATCGAATAGTGACTGACAGAAGGGACAAAAAGGGCGGATGGTGAGGGAGTAGTTTTCACCATCTGCTTCGCTGTTTTGCTTGTTTGCTCGCTCGCCCGCTCAATCGTAGCGAGAAGGGAAAGGGAAGCGGAGAGTGGTTTTAGTGTGTGCTTGCTTTGCTTACCGCGGCTATGTGAGTATTGCGTGCTTGCTTTATGGATGGACAAACTTCCTTGACCACTCGTGAATTGAATGTGCGACATCCGTTCACCGAGTGTTTGCTTTGCTTGCCTTGTTCGCGGTTGCGCTGTCTACAATGGCGGAGCAGGGGACGGATGATGCGTCCTTGCTCATTGACTGATTAGAACATGCGTGCTTACACCATTTTGGCCCTGTCAAAGCCATCTGGACGCAAGTGCTTGCTTTGTATAGCGGGAGGGGAAGACGGATACGTGTGATTGCTCTGTTCTAGAGCATTTACTTCGATATCTGCTTGCTTTTGCTTGCCATGATTTTGGACGTCGCCCGGATTCTCGAGAAGTGCAGAGTGGACGGACATGCACTTCTGCCATCCCCTGTCAAGTGGAACAATTTATGGGAAAGCGCACTGGCACGTAGAGTCCATCGGCATGCACACAATAACTAAACTTAGTGTCCCTGCAATGTCACTGCGCGTTAGCCAAGCCCAAATCCCCACCCATCACTCCCCCCGAAGGTCCACCATCACTCGTCCATCCTTCAGGTGTGACATACGCATGGTACTCGGCAGTGGTGGGTGCCCCGAAACGAGAGGCCGTCAGCACACGAGGCGCAAAGTTCGAACGACGGCTCACGCGAAGGGCGGGATAGTTGACACATGTTGGTAGCCGGGCCGAGGGATGATGAGCTGCTGGGTGGGTGAAGGTGGTCGTGCACGTGGTCCTCGGCAGTGGTGGGCGTCGCTGGGGTGCATCCCGAAACGAGAGTCCGTCAGCGCACGAGGCGCAAACTTGGACCGACGGCTCATGCAAAGGGCGGGATAGTTGACACATGTTGGTAGCCGGACCGAGGGATGCATCGGCTGCTGGGTGTGTTGGGCGGACGAGAATGGTTGCTCACGTGGCACTTGGC